AACCAGTCCAGCTCGTCCCTGCCTCCCTAACCTGTTCTTCCTCCCACCTATCCCCTCCTCCCACCTCAAGCCGCACCTCCATCTCCTACCGACCAACCTCATCCCGCCCCCTTGACCTGTCCGTCCTCCCTGGACTGACCTATCCCCTTCCTAACTCCCTACCTACACTCACCTTTCCTGGCTCCATCCCCGCCTCTTCGACCTGTTTGTTTCCTCTCCACCTATCCTCTCCTCTATCCCTCTTCTATCCACCTCCCACTCTCTCCCTATTTATTTCAAAACCCCCTTCCCCTCCCCCTTTTCTGATGAAGGGTCTAGGCCCGAAACGTCAGCCTCTCTGCTCCTATGATGCTGCTTGGCCTGCTGTGTTCATCCAGCCCTGCACCTTATTGTCTACGATTAAAATACAGTCTCTTTTTCTTCAGAATGTATGGAGTTCATGTTGCGGGAACGTGGAATGCCACAAAGCTCCATCTTCCTATGCTTTGGACAACAATTCCGAATAGGAAATGAGAAGAAGAAACTCATCCTGGTCAAGGTCAGTGGGTCTTCATCAATCCAACAGGGAATTTTAGAGAGATGTCTTTAAAGACTTACATTTTCCATAGTACCATTCAAAACCTTAGGATGTCCCAAAGCATTTCAGAACCAGTGAAATACCACTTACAATGTGGTTACTGTTGTACTGTAGGAAATGTGAGAACCACTTTATGTGCACATGTGAAACTCGCTACTACAAGGTGTGGTTGAGGAGAACAGTATAGATAATACACTTAAGGGGAAGCTAGATAAACAAACAAATAAGGAAGGAAAGAAGAGAAGGCTGTGTTGATAGTGAGACGGAGTGGGAGGAGGCTGGAATGGACAGTTTGGGTTGAAAAGTCTGTTTGTATTTTGGATCTTCTCTGTAAGTCCATAACATGAAGGTTTTAGACTACTGCATGTTAAGATGGTAACACCATCAAACGACTTATCTACTCCTACTCCCCCTTTTTTGCTGTGCAGTGAGATTTCTTGGGCTAATCCTACTGGTTTAGTTTTCTAAGTCTTTTTTATTTTAAAATGAAGGAGTTTGATGTGGGGAATTGACTTGTGGCTGAGTGGTTAGCACAAGGCTGACAGGTTCAATCCCACCCTCTGGTGACTGTGTGGAGTTTGCACATTCTCCCTGTGTCTGCGTGGGTTTCCTCTGGGTGCTCCGGTTTCCTTCCACAGTCCAAAGATGTGCAGGTTAGGTGGATTGGCCATGGGAGATGCAGAGTTGCAGGGTGAGTCTGGGTGGGATGCACTTTGGAGTGTTGGTGAAGGACTCAATGGGCTGAATGTCCTTTTTCCCCACTGCAGGGATTGATTCTAGGCCTTGCAGCAGGGTGAGCTCAGTGATTTTAATCACTGGCTGACTTTCCATCCTGAATAGACTCTTTGATAGCACCTTTTAAATCAAGATCCTCTAGTGCAGCAGACACATGAGAACACCACAAACTGCCCTCTAATTTACACAATCCTGACTTGCAACAAAATCAGGACCTGAATCACCAAAGCCTTGTAGTCAGATTTCTGAAAATTAAATTCTAAACAGGGGCTCTTCTAAGTCTTATAACTCTTATGAGTCACTGGTTCACCTTCAGCAAAATCTTGTGTTTATTTCTTCTGCTGACCATACTTTCAGAATAATATGAATGTCCTGGACTGGGTACAGAGGGGATTTATGAAAATGCTTCCCGAGATGAGGAACTGCAGTGATGTGGAGAGACTGGAGAAATATAGAAAAAAGCAGCCTATTGGACCTGCACTAATCATACTATGACTGATCCTGTGTCTCAGTATATGCTGGTGCTCTCTCCCTATATGTCCTGATGCCTTTGGTGTCTAGACGTCTCTCTATTTATCTTAAATGCATTCAGTGATTTGGTCTCCACATCACGATAGAGAATTCCACAAGTTCTCGCACTGACTGAAGAAATGTCTCTCCTCATTCAATATAACAAAGGCCTACCCTGTATCCTTAGACCAAAACTCCTTGTATTAGGACAGCTCAGCCAAAGGAAACACTCCCCCTGCTTTCAGTCTGTCCAGCTCTGTCAGAACTTTATATGTTTCAATGCAAGCCCCTGTCATTTTTCTAAACTCCAGTGAATTCGAGTCCAGTTAACCAAATTTCTCCTCATGCAACAAATTTGCCACGTCACGAATCAGTCTGATCAACATTTGCTGATTTCCCTCAATGGCAAGTGTATCTTAGGTAAGAAGACCAAAACTGTGCCTTGTATTCCAAGTGGATCTCAAGGCACTGTACACTGCAGAAGGACTTCCTTGCTCCTGCATTCAAACCCTCTTGCAATAAAGGCTAACATATCATTTGTCTTCCTAGCTGTTTGTTGTACCAGCATGCTTGCTTTCAGTTGTAGGTGTACAAGGGAACCTAGATCCAGTTGTACATTTACCTTTTCCAACCTATCACCATTTAAATAATACTCTCTACCATTCTGTCCTTCTTACTGAAATGGATAATTTCATACTGATCCACCTTTCTACTGTATCGGCCATGTATTTGTCCTCTTACTCAACAGTAAATTTCTCAATGCCTGTTTACATCCTAATCACCACTCTCACCCCCAGCTATGTTTGTGTCAAAACTGTTCAAGTATCTACAGAATCATAGAAGATGACAACTGACACAGTCAAGACTTTTGTGGCCACCCCTTTAACACCCTGGGATTGAAATTATTAGGCCCTGGGGATTTATCAGCTTTTCACTAGACCCTTGGTTCCATAGTATCTCTTGAAAGTTATTTATCTTCTTTCATGAAGACAGAATTAAAATAGTTGTTTAATTGCTATGTCATTTCCTTGCTCTCCATCATCAATTTTTCCATTTCGTTATGTAAGGGGCCTACATTTATCTTCACTAATCCTCATTTTGCCTTTTTACACAGCTGTTAAGTCCAATTTTATATTCCTTGCAATTTAACTGTCATTTTTTCAAAGTCTTAATGAATGTCTTGCTCTTACCTTAATGAATTCAGAACTCTTCCCAGTCCTCTGGCTTGCTGCTTTGTCTAGCAACTTTATATGACTTCCCTTTGGATCTAATATCATCCTTAATTGCTTTGGTTAGCTATGGTTGGAACACTTCTTCCTGTTGTTTTTGCACCAGAAAGGAATGTATAGGTGTTGCAATGTGTGCATTTGCTCCTTACGTATTAGCTATTGGCTGGCCATCTGTCATGACTCTTTTTTTTAATGAAGTTACTCAGTCCAGCATAATCAACTTGCCCCTTGTACCTTTATACTTTTCTTTGTTTAGATTTCTGACCATAGTTTTGGATTAGACGATTTCACTTTCCACCTCAATGAAGAATCTTAATGTTATGATCGTTCTTCCCTGAAGAATTCTGCACAACAAGATTATCAGTTAACTCCTTCTCAGTGCACAGTATCAAATTTGGAATAGCATGTTCCCTTGTTGGTTCCTCGGTGTATTGTTCTAAACAAAACCTTGTACCCGTTCCAGGATTTCATCTGCCACAGGGTTATTGCTAATTTGAGTTGCCCTATCTATGTGTAGATTGAGGTCACCCACGATTACCATAGCATGCTTATTACATGCATCTCTAATTTCCTGCTTAATTACATTCCCTACCTTCTTAGAGGCCTATAGATAACCCTCACTAATATTTACCTGCCTTGTTGTTTCTTCACTCTAGCCAGTATGATTCCACATCTGAATTTTATGAGCCAATATCCTTTCTCACTTGTGCATAGATTTCATTGTTTACTCATCTCACCTCCTTTTCCTTTTTTGCCTGTACTTTCTAACCATTGAGTACCCTTGGATTTTCAGTTCCCATCCTTGGTCACCCTGCAGCCATGCTTCTGAAATCACAATTGTATCAGACCTGTTTATAACTATTTGCACCATTGAATTAATTTACTTTATTGCGATGCTGTGTGCTTTGGATTGACAGTAACTATAGATTTGTCTGTGATGGCTCTTCACAGCACCGAAAAGGGTAAAAGATATTGAAATGGAATAGACAGAAATGTTTTCATAGAGAAAAATGTGAAAAAAAGTGTTTCCTATGACAGGAGGGTCAGTAACCAGAGGACACAGGCTTAAGATAATTTGCAAAAGAACTAGAGGGGCAATGAGAAGAATTTTGTTTTGCACAGTGAGTTTTTGTGATCTAGAATGCACTGCCTGAAGGATGGCAGAAGTGTTTTCAAGCAAAACTTTCAAAAGGGAATTTGTTAATGTTCAAAGGAAAAGGTTTTACACGGCTCTGTGGGGGTGAGGGGGTAAATTAATAAGGGAGTGGGATTAATTGAATTCTCTCTTTCTCAAAAAGTTGGCTCAGGCACAATGTGCTGAATAGCCTCTTTCTTTGCTATAGCATTCTATGAATCTACCACAGGAGTGTTTTCATTCTATTCCTGGGTGGTAGGGATGCCAAGATCTTTCACCCCATCCCTTCACTAACAATCTCAATCCCATCCTATGCTTTTCACTCTGAGAACTGGAGGTAGCAAAGAGTCAACCCTGGGTGCCTTTGGCAACTTTACTCAAACAGCCTGATGATATTGGCCAACAGCAGAACTTAATGTTTGCTTTTTTTCGCTTTGAGTGGCTGAATCTCATTCCATCAATGTTGTCTTTCTTCTGTTTCCAACCCTCAGATTGTTCCTAAAATCTGCATCTGTCTGATTGAATATGCCCATCAAGAAGGAGCATCCTCACTGACCAGTGAGAATGTCAGCCTGCAGATCTCCAACAATTCCAACACATCATCCATGGAGAACTTGATAGCTTTAATCCAAGAATTGGAAAGTATAATGGAGGTAGAGTAGCTGAGGCACTGGTCCCAGGCAATGGGCACTTCGAATACCTACAAATGTCAACTTGTCGTGAAAATTTCCTCTTTATCACACCTGAGCATGTAGCTACAAAGTATTCTGACCCAGTTCCTACAATGTTTAGCCAGAAAGATCTTCTAGAACTTGTCACTGTCCCTTAATCTTTGTGCATTTGAGTTCTGGGCAAATCTTCAGTATAATCTTTTAGGCATTCAGAGGAATGTTTATTGCATCTTGCTTTTTTCTAGTTACTAGTCAAGGTATTTGAACTGTTTGCAACCATTCAAAAAGCTGGATCAGAATTTGCTTCCATCTCAGCTGGTTCTTGCTAGTAAAGAAAAATAACAGAAGATTAAACATCAAACCCACCTTTAATTCACTATAGTACTGATTCAGTTAAAGTCTGGAAGCAGCAGATATTGGTCATCACGAAGAACACCACACTCAGCTGCATAGTGTGTTGCTCATTCAGAAAACTGGAAATCAAGATTCAAACAACCTGCATTTCTGTTGCTTCCCCTCGCGACTTCAGGGTGTTTCAAAGTGCTTTTCAGCAAAAAAGTACTTTTTTATAATTGATGTACAGAAGCATACTGTGGGGCCATAGATTTAGATTGTTTGGCATAGGGCAATTTTTTGTTTTGCTTACCAGCATACCACGAAGCTTTGTTTTTGAAAATAGGGAAAAGTATTTCTGAATTGTGGTTTTTATTATCTATTTTTGGAAATTTAAATGTCTTTTCTTTTGTCCCTTCCATTCAAAAGATGCTGCAGTCAATTTTAGTCCACTGTCCTGCTCTACTATCAGTTTGTAAATCCTTTCCCATCAGTCTCAGGATGTTAGCCTCACTAGCAAGGCCAGCATTTGTTGCTCATCCCTGTTTGTCATTGAGAAGTTTGAGGGAAGCCACTGATTTGAACAAGTGCAGCCTATCAGATGTTGATATACTGTTAAGGAGTTGCAGTCTGTTGATGTAGTGACAGTGAAAGAACAGTGATACAGTTCCACATCAGCGTGTGACTTTGGAGCAATGTTGCCCTGTGTTTTGTCTTTTGTAAATAGGGATGGTCCTGGGTATGGAGGTGCTACTTTTTTTTTAAAAGAAGTTCTGCAAAATAATTTGCTGCGTGGGTTTTTTTCAACAAAAGAGAACCTACCTGTAATTCTTTAAAAAGGTGAGCCCATTTTCAAAACAATGGCAGAGGAATTCCCAAAGGCCCAGTTGAATCTTCCTGATTGGAGACTGGGGAGCAAAGGTTAAAGTGAGCTCTGATCTCACACAGAAGCAGTCAGACTATTTCTCTGATACCAGAGTCATACTGAGGCAAAACAAACAAATCAATTTGTTTGTTTATTTCAAATTTGGAGAGGAAAAATATTTGCTATGTTTCTATAAATACTGAAAATTAGGACCAATCACAGAGCACTTTTTTTTTATATTTCTGGTTAACTTAAATTGAAATTATACAACAGCTGGAGTTGCCCATGGTTCTACAGCAGCAAGAGTGTTGGAGTTTAATGGGTTCATCAACAATACCTCCCCTCAAAAGATTGTCCTGGAGTCTCCAGAGTTTATTGGAGATGATTGTTGGGGATTATCCTGTTTATGGTTCAAGGGAGAGAGCTGCAAGCAAGCTAGTAATAGAGTTTCCTTTAGCGATAGAGTTTCCTCCCTGTACTTCATACATTGTAAGGTAAGTTATTTTAATGTCACTCAGCCCAATATCTGGGAGCAAGTAATCTCACTCTCAGTTCCCGCATGGACTCTATCCAGTCCATTGCCTCGTAACGTCATGAACTGTAAAACAGACATTGGCACATTTAAAGTTAGGGACTTAAAAAGGGGTTAGGCTGCAAATTCTGGAATTTAAACATAGCAGAATATTCTAGAATTACTTGGAAGATCCAGTAGTACCTTTTCTTTAAAAAAAGCAAGTCATCTTTGGGTGATGTTGTCCCTCTGTAGCTATGCGATTAACTCCTGGTCTGTGCAACCCACTCCATTCAGAGGCTGTAGTGAGAGAGGGTTTAGGCTGCAAACCTTGAAAATTGCCCCTTCAAATATTAATTTCCAAAGTTCGAGTATCTTTCCAAGAAGTACATGCAGACTCAGTTGGCTGAATAAAGTTAAATGCTGCCCTATTCTATGTTAAATTCTTTTATCTGCTGTAAACAGAAAGCATATGGGAGTGGCTTTAAGGCTTTTCACTAACCTGTCACAAAAATACATGAAACCTCTTAAAACTGATAGTCATTAACTTCAAGGCACAAACCAGCATGTTAGAGCATTTGGGAAATGTCAGACAACTCTGCCAGCTTGTTACTTTTCTTTTGTATGATATTTTTCTTGCTGCTGCCTCTTCAAGAAACTTTCAACCCCTTTACGGGTCATTGATTTTTATACTTTGAAACAAAAGTTAAAGCAGAAAACCTGACGATCCATCTGATCAATGGGGGCTTCTCTGATGCTGGTCATTGATGGTTTGAATTCAGGCGTTGTAACCACACTCCTGGGTTTTCAGAGAGCAATGGTTACAGAGAGTCAATATTCCGCTGGTAGGATGGAGTTAGAAAATGTTTACAAAAAATGATTTAAGGGCTTCCTTTTAAGCTGTGAATTAAGAACAACGTGCATTCATCTGATCACACTGGGCGATGATGTGAAAGTAGTCTAGAAAATCTTAATTTCTAGGTGTTAATCTGTACAAAAATCGCATTTTAAGATCCCTTTCATTTCATAGGTTGTTGATTGTTTCACGATGACCTCTTTGATCCCGCCCAGTTTTATTTCCAGTGATCCAGCTGACCTTATTTCCCTTCCCGTTGATCGGGGTTGGGCGGGGGGGGCGGGGGGGGGGGGGTGGGGGGGCGGGGGGTGGTAGCGGGAACCGGGGCTGGCGTGTGTTTGGTGGTCGCATATCATTCCTGCTGGCCAGGCAGAATGGTGTACTCCTGGTCTCAGCCCAAGGCAGCAGCAATCTTCAATGCAGAGGTCACTGAGAAAAAGCCATTTGATTTCATTTGAGCTTGTTGCTCTTTGGTGAGGGCAGAATCTGACCCCAGCTAAAACTGGGGAACTGTCAGATGTTACTGATTCAGTGATCGTGTCACTCATGAAATCAACCTGATGAGGATTCCCAAATCAATTTTGGAATAAGTACTTATTGATAGAGACAGGAATTGCTCTACATTAGTCATGGGATCATTAGATCCCAAAACAAGCTAACTTGTTCTACCAGATGTTGGTAGCAGATACACAATCACTCCATTTCCCAATGAAATATCTTGAGGAGAAGTTTATTATGCGGCAAAGTGATTAGGCTTCGATGAATTGCTAAGCTGAATTCTCTAGGTATCCAAAGTACCACTAGTGTTGTGGTACTCCCTCCAGGATCAGAACGGTTCTCATTTTGGTGCTAAATTAATCTGCATTCAATGCACATTTGACACTCGTTGTAATCCAGGTGTCAGGGTCTTCCGAGGGAAACCAAGTGTATGAGGTGTTTTCAGGTCACCTGCTGACTGAATTTGATCTGAAGAGGTTGGATGGGGGAGCAGAATGAAAAAGGTGCACATTCTGGGGTCAATTGTTATATGGCTGACCCACAGAACTCCTTTGGGAGATAATATCTGCAATTAGATGCCCCCCAACCATTAAAACCCCTTCAATCTGCACTTTGAAAAAAGAACCCTTTTTCCCAGCTCAGCAGAGCCTGAACAGTATTACTGGGGTTATAAGGGTGAAGTGTATATATCCTTCTAAAACTGTATCTTTATATTTTATAATTTTGCTGTTTAAAATTTTCTTAAAGTTTATTAAAATAGAGACAAATTGCAACTCCTGTGTTTTCTTGGATTCAGTTCATTCTCAGTAACACTTGCATCATTTAAGGTAATATTTGTACTTTGAACCCTTATTTACAGAATCTGTGAACCATGCTGAGTTGTCCCTAAGTGTGGCCAGTCCTCTGGCAGTGTCGCCTGCTCTGGGAGTGTATGCACTAGGTTTCCCTCTCTTCAGTTAGCTGCAGACCCTTCATGACACATTTTCAAGATGCTCCAACATTGTTGTGATTTGTAGTTGCTGTTGCAACTTGAAAAAATGAAAGTCAGTTCCTGAACAGGCAGGTCCCAAAACAAGTAGCAGGCAAACAACCTGAACAGTCTCCTTCTTTGCAGTGAGCATTCTTTATCAGAGGTAGAGAGTTTTAGGAAGACAATTCCAAAGATTTTGGTGCTGGCATCCTCCAGACTAGGTCTCCAAACCAATGAGGTTTATTAACAACTTTGTGAAATGGCCCATAGCAAGCCCTTTCATTTTGTCAGGCTACTAGACTTTCAAACAGATTGACCAGCAGCTGACTCCACCACAAGCTCATGGGGGGAATAACTTGCTTCTGTGCAGTACCCTTCTGAGATATCACATTTACAAAGGTGTTGGAGATCATGACATCCACTAATCTCCAGAACACAATACAACTATGACAAGCAGCAAAGAGATATTAAGAACGACAGTTTTTCTTCCTCCCCTTTCCAATATTTCAGTTTATTTGTAGTGAAAATGTTGAAGGTAGGAAAGACTGTTTGGCCATCAGGGCATGATATTCTCATTGGGCTCTGACTGCTGACATTGTTCAAATGCAAGCCTATATTGGTGCTGGCTTTATCCTAGACCCAGCCATTCTGCTATTTGTATTGTGTTAGCATTTGATCTCTTACAGACACAACTAATTCCCAGTCCTCAAACATTAACTCTCCCATTACCTCACCATCCAATAACTAACACAAGTCACAAGTCAGAGACAGTGAAGCTCAGCGAGGAGAGAAGTAATTTCTTTATTAACGATTTCCTCTCTTCTAAATTTATACAAAACCAAAGAAGGCATTTTACAAGCGGAAATACTTGTTAATAAAACAGTTTGCCAATGCTCAGTAATTTTCCACAAGATGGGGATTGACTGTATTGCCCAGATCAGAGGTTCCTACTATCACAGTGCAGGCATTATCACTGTTCACGTAAAATATACTCCATCAGCAGAATGTAATTAAACAGTCTCAAATGATTCAGTGGCATAGAAATATACAGTCAAAAGTTAATTCAAAGTGATATTAAATTAGCAGGTTTACTGAAACAGAGTACAATTCTAACAGTGAGGGTGGAATGTATCTCAGGAAATAGCACTACACTCTGTATAATCACTATTTTAGGACTTATTGCATAAAAGCAACTTGTGTTAATGTAGTGTACTTAACAGCGAACTATGCCATGGTGCTTTAGAAATATTACAATGTAAAATATACATTCAAGCTATGTCAGGTGATATGAGAATAGCTAGCCAAAAGCTTGGTCAAACAGTAATGATTTCTAAGAAATGTTTTGAATCACAACCCAGGGGTAAAAAAGTGATAAGGTTTAGCAAGGGAATTCTGGGGCTTGGGGCCCAGGTAGCTGAAAGCATAGCCAACAATTGTGAAGTGATTAAAATCAGGGACAATAAAGAGGTCAGTATTAGAGGAGCTCAGATCTCAAGAGTTGAAAGGAGGAGATGACATAGAAAGTGGGAGAAAAGGCCATGGATGAGATTCTTTAAAAGCAAGACAATGTAGGTCAGTAAGCAGGAGATGAATTTTCACCTTTACTGTCTCAGAAGAAAAATGCAATATTCTGATCACATTGGCTCCTCAGTTGTGCAATCACACTGCTGACAACAGAAAGCAACTGCATTGGAAGTTGTCAGTTGAAGTATGAGTCAAGGAAGTACTGAAACAATGTAGCATCCACCATTTTCTCCACTCTCCCCTCCACTGCTGTGAATGACCTAGCTACCCAACATCCTCTCCACCTGGCCTGCTGTGCCTGGGAAGTACACTAGCAAAATTTAATTGGGTACTGATGTTATCTCAGGCCCTGAGGAATCCTCCTCCTTCTATGTTTATCAAAACACTGAACAACCAATCCCTCATCATAAACAACAAGGTGCAGGGCTGGATGAACACAGCAGGCCAAGCAGCATCATAGGAGCAGAGAGGCTGACGTTTCGGGCCTAGACCCTTCATCAGAAAAGGG